GATATATGGTTGAAATTTATTGATGATTTATTTTATTTACTCTTTTCACTTGCATTCTTGTTGATAATATTTCTTCCTGGTTCATTTGCTGAAGCTTCTTGATCTTGTGGAGTTAAAACTGAAGGAAGTGATTGCAAGGGAACCTACACTCCTTGTTATGGTGGTGGGTGTTCCTAATGTTGGGAAATCTGCTTTAATCAATTCAGTCCATCGAATTGCTTTGTCTCGCTTTCCTGGTAAGATGTAACTATGTTAGGTGTCTACACAGTATTTTGTTGACTAAAATGTAGCTCAAAATTTGGTGCAATTAAGTTTTCAGTTTATTTTGTCTCAAATTCATGCTTATTAAGCAATAACATTTTTGAATCTTCTACATAGTGCAAGAGAAGACAAAGAGAGCCACAGTAGGTCCATTGCCTGGTGTCACTCAAGATATTGCAGGATTCAAGGTCCTTTTTTTTTCTGGAGCTCCCTTCTTCTTCTTCTTCTCTTTCTCTCCCCATGATTACGTGCACACATATTCCACAAATTCTCTATAGTCTTGTAAGATGAAGATAATGATATTGTCTATAACATTGGTAAAGGGTAACAGTGGCCTGGCTTTGCCTTTCGTGTTGTCATGTCTATGGTCTTCTTCTTTAGCTTTTATTTATATATCTATTTTTCTTAGTTGCTAGAATTTGGAGTTAAAGATGTGAACTTAGCAATCGTTTTTATTTTTATTTTTTGACAGAAAAAGGGGAGCAACATAGCTTTGGCTCTTTTCTTTTTGGCTTTAACATGAAAGTATGTGAAGAAAAATCATTTGCCTAAACCTTTATTTAGATATTTTTCCTTTGGTCACCTATTAATATGGCTATTTCTGATGCTGCTTTAAAATTTCAGTATCAATTTGTCAAGTTCTTAGAGAGCTTCTTTTGTTTTTCAAATTAAAAAATATGAACTTTTCCTATTCATTTTCCCTAGTCTCTGTGGTTTGCCTTTTTCTTGTTATCATTTTGCCTAATGAAAACCCTTCCCCTTCATAAAATTTGGATGTTGACTGTTTTTTCCCCCTTATTTAATACAGATTGCCCATCGGCCTAGCATATATGTTTTAGACACGCCAGGTGTGTTAGTTCCAAGTATCCCAGATATTGAAACAGGGTTAAAGCTAGCTCTTGCAGGTTGAACCCTCTTTCAGAATTACATTCTAGTTCTAATTCCTGTATTTTATCCTCTAAATATTGTTTCATTCACTTGTGGTATGTTGTTTATGAACATCTGAACATGCTTTTATATTTATCAACAATTATATGTTGGTAAGATTAAGTTAGGATGATTCTGACCATGATGCACTACATTGCAGCAATGAATTAAATACTACAGAATTTATCTAAATCTTTTGTTATTAGAGAAAGGTATTTGGGAAGCAATTTCTGCAAACTGACTCAGCCATATGTTTGTACTGATGTAAATTGAGGTTTATATTATCAGGATTCTTTTAATGGTTTATAGGATCGGCCAATTAGGATCTCGTTATTTACCAAGGTTTTTTCATAATGCATATATAGGGTCCGTTAAAGATTCGGTGGTAGGTGAAGAGCGCATCACTCAATACTTACTGGCAATATTAAATATTCGAGGCACCCCCCTTCATTGGAGCCACTTGAGTAATAGAACTGAAGTGTCTCAAAACGAATCTGATGGCAAACATGAGTATAATCTTAAAGACCTTCGTCAAAAGAGGAGAAAACCACCTGACATTTCAGATGTGCTCTACATTGAGGTAATGAAGGTCTCTCCCTCTAAAATGTGGATGGCATAGACTATTCAAGAACTTCTTACATAGAATTGTAACTTCTTATGATCACTTAGAATTACATCATTCCGTCCTAAAAAGCTCTTTTGTTTGCTAGTACATATTTAGTTAGTTTGTTACTATCAAAATAGTTATTTTAGGTTCTAACCAGAGCAAGTGTGGAATTTTCATCCGTGTTGGTTTTCCATATTGGATGCTCTAATTTTGTGTATTCTTCTATAATTTTCTTATGAGTAAATTTGTCAATTATAAATCTAATTTCATGAAAATTTGTTTCTGTATAATTTTAGTTGTTCACTTCCACATTCTTTATACATTACCTTGATGGTTGATCTGCAATTTGTACCCAATACTCCCATTTTATTTGCATAATTAAGCTCAATCTTGAAGTGGCGTTTTATTTCTCTGACTCTGGGCTTAGTATAATTGGTCTTACAGAAATGTTAGAGTTTCTTTTACAGAAAATTCTTAAATTGTATGGGAAAATTTTTCTTTAGTTTTATAGAATTCAAAGAAAAAGAAATGCGTGCTATATCCAGATATTAGTCTGTGGTAATAAAATCAAAGGATTAATTAAAATTATTGTTAATTATTTATGATATATGGAGACTAAATATGTCAATTATATATATTGCTCATTAACTTCTTTCTAACTGTTAGAAAGATGTTTAATTTACCATGAAGAGATTCATCCATTAATATTTGTACGAATGGCTAATCAGAATTGCTTTTCAAGAATAATTCTTGTTCTTCTGCATATCACTCTTGCCAACTTTTAGTTATCTTCAGATATTGTCTCATTTCTAAATTTGAGTGTTCTACTTGTTCATTTACAGGATCTTGTAACAGAAGTCCGGCGGTCATTATATGAAACTCTGAATGAATTCAAAGGTAATGTAGAAGATGAGAATGACTTGGAGAGTCTCATAGAACAGCAGTTCGAAGTACTACAGAAGGCCTTGAAGATACCTCATAAAGCATCTGAAGCTCGGTTGATGGTATCAAAAAAGTTCCTTACTTTATTTAGGACTGGTAAACTAGGTCCTTTCATTCTCGATGATGTTCCTGATTCTAACTCTAGCTTGTGATATCCTTCCAGGAAGTTAGCATAGTCCCCTTCCTATTTCAGTCGAATGTTCTTAGGGTGCGTTTGGTTCAAGGAATGTTAGATTATCGGGAATGTTAGATTACTGAAATCCTATATTACCTTGAAGATTATTGGGAATCTTTAGAAAAATGTGTTTGGTTAGTTGGTGGGTATGTTATATTAATATGTTTGGTTAAGGGGAATAAATTGGTGGATATGTTATTTAAATTATTAAATTACCCTCTTTTTAAATATTAATATAATATTTTTTTTATAATTAATTTTTGAATAATTTCTTTTAACCCCAAATATTTCAGATTTAGCTAAAACACCCCGCTTATATAAAACTTTAATTTATGACAAAATCATCCCACCCTCTGCCGCCGCTTGCACCCACCGCAAACCACCGCCGAAAGTCTCCGAAAGTCGTCGTGAGTAGTTCACCGTGACCATGAGGCTCTGCTATGGCCCTTTTTGGCCATATTGATGGCCGAAAACGACCATATGAGGCCAGAACTGGCCATTATCGGCCATATTTAGGCAAGATCTAGCCATTATCGGCCATATTCGGGCAAGATCTGGCCGTTAACAGCCAGATTTGGCCTGATATGGTCATTTTCGGTCATTAATATGGCCATAAACGGCCACATCGAAGCCTCTCGGAGCCTCCCAGTGACTCTCGATCATTTTTAGTATGACTTTTCGGCAACGGTCCGTGGTGGTTGGCCCACTGTCGACGGTCGTGGCTAACTGGTGGTGATGGTTTGTAATTTGTTTTAAATATAAGGGTATTATTGTACAAAAACTTAATGAAACAAGGGTAAAATTGAAATGATATGTTAATGTAAATTGATTTTAAATAGGAGTATTATTGTCCAAAATTTTTATTAATAAGGGATATAATTGTGACAAAAATAAGATTATCAATATCTAAGAAAATGGAGGTAATAAGATTATCTCTAATATTATCAACAGTAACAATTATTAGTAATACAAGATTACCGGAATTTTATATTACTTGACAACCAAACATGATAATTAAGTAATATAAGATGACATAACCTCAGTAATCTTATATTACCTTCCACCAAACGGCCCCTTAATGATATGTCAGTCCAAATTTTTCTGTATATTGTGACTTCAAAAAAAATAAATGAGTGGTTCAATTTATCTCATAGAATTAAACTAAAGAAGTTCTATTTAATACACTTCATTTAAAATTTTTATTTTTTTGGTGCTTATAACACCCTACAAATTCTATAAATGTGGTTCAACTAATTATTTTCTTTAAAACCTAACTACTTAATAACATTGTTTTAAAACTCGGATCAGAGAGCAACCCGTATTAATGCCTGGGTCATGGGTCAACCGGTCCAACCGGTTGGCCTGGTCGGTTGGACCGATGACGTCAACGACAATTTTATTTTAAAAAATTATTATTAATCCCTTAAATTTTAATATATTTCAAAAATTCTCTTAAAAAAGTTTAAATTAGTCCCTAAAATTTTTATTTATTTAAAATTGCTCCAAAAAAATTACTAATTAATCCTTAAACTTTTGACATATCTCCAAAACACCCTTATAAAATTTAATTAACCCTTATAATTTTGAAATATTATAAAAACCCCCCTAAAACCTGAACCGAACCAAAGAAGCTGTCAGGTCCTGTTCGACCAGCCGGTCCGGTCCGGTTTTTAAAATAGAGCTTAATAATCTTCAATGTGCAATTTGCCCTCTATTTTTTTTTTCTTTTGGAGCACAATTTTAATTATTCAAATTGAGAAAAAAAAAAATCTTAAAACGGGAAAAAAATAAAAACAATCTTTACAAATAATTTACCCACATTAGAATAAGCAATTAATGCCCTATGAAAATATCTATTGGAAATATTTTCATGAAATATCCAAATGCAAGATGAACTGATGGTTGTAAGTTGGGTTCAAATCAGTCCCAACATCAGAAGGGAAAAAATTCAAATGAATTAAACCTTTTTTAGTGAGTAAAGTTGAATTGTTGAATTAGGTTGATTTTTTTATTTTTTTTTATTTAAGATTAGATATATATAATGCCTCGGTCAATTCTGGCGGGCTAGTGGATAATATCGTTACATTTAGCACCAATACCAAACGTTAAAGTTTTAAAGAATCCTCTTCTTTCAAGACGGGTTTTGGTAAACTTTCACCAGCCAGTCAGTAGTAGTCCAAAACATCGAAGGAGGGCGCAGCCTTTTCGTCCTCTAACAGATATGGGAAGCACAGTGGGAAATGCAGAGAAACTGGTTGAAAGATGCATGAAAGGGAACGACGCCTCCCACGATGCATCTCACGTTTGGAGGGTTAGAGACCTCGCCCTCTCTCTTGCTCGCGAGGAAGGCCTTTCTTCCCACCCCGACTCCATGGAAATCGTAAAACCCCTCCCCCTCATCATCTTTTTCACTGTTTCTTAATCTTTAAATTCTATTTTATTGAGCAAATTTTTGAACTTTAACTTTAATATTCCTTCTTCTCTTAATTTTTTCACTTTGTTTATTTTGACAGGTTGAGCTTGCTGCACTTCTCCATGATATAGGTCAACTCATTACTCTCTCTTACTTATAGCATTCAAGATATCCCATACTTATTTGATTCTAATTTTTAAACATGATTATGTTTGCTCCTAAATTTGATTTATGGATTATTGGGTAGTAATTAGTGACTCAGTTCATGTGGTAGGAATGCAAAGGCAAAATGTTCATAGAAGTAGTGAATTTTTATTTTTTTTTAAATACTTTTTTTAATCATGCTGGGGTACATCTGTGTAGAATTATCTTTCTAAATCATCAAACTTTTCACTCTCTTTTATGCGGGCTTTACTATAGCAGTAAGCATGTGTATACACTTCAATATTTACTTCAGAGATCATTCTTTTGGAATGCTTTTCATTGTTATCTTGTTTATTATATGTTATTTCCAAATGGCTTTTATTGAAATTAAAAATAATTTCATGTACTGGATGCTTATTGCAGGTGACTACAAGTACTTGAGGTTTGTATTTCTCTTCTTAATATGTTTGGTTTTATATGTCTTGGCTCTACCCCTTTGCATATGTCATTACTCTTGCATCAAAATGTGCCTAAAATATTTATGTATTGTCTATTAACTAGCTTTTGGTATGAACTGCTGGTTGAGTTTGTACAAAATTGCATGTAGAACTTTTATCGGTCAATGAATGAATACTACAAAATGTTTCATATAAATTTTTTCATATATTGTGAGCGGTACTCTTTTTGTAAATCACTCTTAATAGTGTCAATGCGTGAAACTCACATTCCTGTCCAGGACCTTGGTAATTGAAAATTTGTTTTCTTAATAATTATAATGTCTAATTAACTGATTTCTGTGTTCCTTCCCTTTGCTCTTTTTATTTCTTTATTATTGTTTATAAACCATTTTCCCCTTTGAATTTTCTGTCGACTCCATTTCCTAATCTTCCTGATGCAACTTTGGTACGCAGAGATCCATCTGAGGAGAAGATTGTTGAGGACTTTCTTGAGGAAGAGGGTTTAGAGGAAAACAAGAAGACAAAAATATTAAGTATCATTAAAAAAATGGGTGAGTATTTTGCGTATTACTTAAATTGCTTTCAGCATGCAAATTTACCATAAGATCTGGTGAGGTATGCATAATTCCACTTGCTAAACTTGTAAACTTGTGGCTTTTGGAACTCTTCATATGCATGTGTTGCAGTTTTGATAGCATATTCTAAAGATTTGATAATAAATCATTATTGATGTATTTTCCTGGAAAAGAGATGAAATTGTCACTATTTGTCTATTCGACTCTTTTCTTCTTTGTCTCTTTAGTTCCATTATCTTTTCTCCAAATTATTTTTAGTTTTCACTTTTACAGACTCTTGCTGTATTTTTTTAGTTTTTCTTCATAAAATTTGCATAAGGAATTTACTTTCATTCCTTCTCTATAGAATGTACCAATGGTTAAAAGATGTGCCTTTGGAGGGGTGGTTTATGAAAATAAAAACAAGTAAACAACAAAGATTCTGGGCATAGGCCATAGAGGAGTGGTTTGTGATGAAAAATTGGAACTTGTCTTCCTGCCTAATATTGAACAAACCTTAGGGATGGTTTGTAAGACTAACCCTTTTCCATATGCATATATTCGTGTATGTTCTTCCCATCTTCACAACTGATAGGAATAGTGTAGATAGATTGAGGGCATATATGTAATTGTGATAGAAGTAAATATATTAGATTGTATATGACATTTTTTTGTTATGAAATGAATAGTGTGAATATCGATTTTATGAACATGTTATTGGAGCTAGGGTTTGGTACTCTTCCGATTCAGTTTTCGTTTTAACTTTTCCGACGGCCGACAATCTTGTTTCTTGTCATTATCTGTGATTTCGGCAGCCGACAATTTCTATTATGGTCTCTCTTTGTGATTTTGGCGACGGACGACTTCTATTCTGGTCTCTTGCTCTGATTTCGATGGTCGGTGACTTATTTTGTGATTCCAACGACTTTTGCTAATTCTTCTTACGTTCTCCTGTGATTTCACGATCTCTTGTGATTTCGGTGACTCTTCTGATCTCCTACATTCCGGTGAATCTTCTCAGTAATATTTGAGTAGGTTGACTGGTTTTTTATTTCCATTCGGGTGGTATGTGTTAGTGTTTTGTCTGATTATGGTCAACATTTTTTTACTGATGATAAGATTGTCTTCTTATTTTGGGATTTGATTTTGCTGTGGATTCCAATGTTGCTTGTTCTGTTCTACATTTGTTTGGATTGGAAGTGTGAATTTGGTGATTTGGGTTCATTGAACAGCTTTGGAAGGTTATTGTAGAAGTTTTTGGTGACTTAATTATAATATGGCAGATTCTGGTAAACAGTTCGTGACTGAAATTTTGGTTACCTCTTCCACCAAAATTACAGATAGGAAATTATTGGGAAAGTAGAACTATGTTCAATGGCAACGAGCTATTAGACGATATGTTTCCAACATTGACATGAGGGATCATTTAACTGAGGATCCACCTCTAGAAACAGAGATTGATAAGAAAACTAGGAAGAAATGGCTAATGAAGGATGATAAATTGTTCAATCAAATTCAGAACACTTTGGATCCAACGGTGGATGATATTACTAATCACTGTGATACAGTTAAAGAATTGTGGGATTATCTCGAGTTTTTATACGCTAGTAAACAAGACTTGTCCCATGTTCATAATTTGTTGTTGAGGATTTATCGAGCTAATATGCAGGAGAAGACCTTGCTTGAGTACTATACAGAGGTGAAGCAAACTTTTCAAGAAAAGAGAGTTATATTTCTTGTGACTGCTGATGTTGTGAAGATGAAAGAACAAGAAGAGCAAGTAGTTGTGCAGTGTTTTCTAGCTAGGTTGAGGCCAGAATATGATGTCGTTCGGACACAGCTCCTAACTGGTGACAAACTTCCTTCTCTTATTAATGTCTATGCTAGTCTTCTTTGTGTTAATAAAAGGGAAAACAGAGGAACGTCACAGGATACTGCTACAAATCATGCAGCTCTAGTTGGCATGAAGACTACCAGTGGTAAAGGAAACAAAGGACGAATCAGGATATGAGGAGTAGTCGTGGCTGTGGCACTCGCACTTGTTTCCATTGTGGTGCTGAGGGACATGGAAAAAAGAATTGTTGGAAGCTTCATGGGAAGCCTCTGAATGGGCAAAGGTCTAAAAAATATGCCCATGTTACCACTCAAGATGGTCTCTTACCTCTTCCTTCCCTGGTTACTATCCTACCGATGAGTATGCTCGCTTTACTCGGATTGTTAGTCCTCTGTCATCCATTCCATCGACTGTCGCTGCATTAACATAGTTAGGTAATCCTATAGCTTGTGTGTCTACTTCTAATCGCAACTAGGTCATTGATTCTGATGCTACTGACCATATGACAAGTGATACAAGTATTCTTTCGTCATTCACATCATATTCTGATTTGTCTTCGGTTACTTTAGCTAATGGATCTACCTTGTCTGTTATAGGGTGTGGTACTTCTAATCCCACCAAATCTATATCTCTCTCCTCTGTTTTGTGTCTTCCTCAATTTCCTTATAATTTATTATTTGTTATTCAAATCACAGATACATTCAACAATTGTGGTGTTTATCTTTTCCCTACCCATTGTGTCTTCAAGATCTTGGGACGAAGCAAATTATTGGTGGGGGTTGTGTCTCGAGTGGCTTGTACATGCTTGATGACATTTCTATTCCGATGCCACAACCTGTTGCTTGTACTAGTGATTCATCCCTCTCCATCTTCCATGGTCGTTTTGGACATCCTCCTCTCTTAATCTTGAAGAAATTGTGTCTTAGTTTTGAGTCAGTGTCACATTTTGAATGTGAATCATGTCAATCTAGGAAACACCATCGAGTGTTGTACAATCCTAGAGCAAATAAACGAGTTGTGACTCCGTTTGATATTATACATTTGGACATTTGGGATCCTTGTCTTGTTTTGTCTAAATTTGGGTATAGATACTTTTCTACTTTTGTCGATGATTTTTCATATGTAACTTGACTATATTTATGAAAAATCGTTCTAAGTTATTTTCCATTTTTTGTGCCTTTTATGTTGAGATACAAAATCAATTTGATTCTATTAAAATTTTGCGAAGTGATAATGCTAAAGAATATTTTTCTCTATCTTTTTCCTCTTTTTTGTCCACTAGGGATATTATTTGTCAGTTATCTTGTGTGTATACACCTCAACAAACTGGGATTGTTGAAAGAAAAAATGGTCATTTGTTGGAGGTCGTTTGTACACTTCTTTTTCATATGAAAGTTTACAAAGAATTCTGGGTGGATGCAGTTTCTATTGCTTGTCATTTGATTAATCGAATGCCTTCTTCTGTTTTGGGTGGTCACATCCCTTATTCTATTCTTATTCCTTCTCAATCATTATTTTCTCTTCCTCCCAAAGTCTTTGGGTGTACTTGTTTTGTTCAGGATTTTCAACCTCTCCTTTCCAAAATAGATCCTAGGTCTCTTAAGTGTATATTCTTAGGTAATACTTGTTACCAAAAGGGTTATCGTTGCTTTTCTCCTACACCGAGTGAGTATGTTGCCTCAACTGATGTTTCGTTTTTTGAAAATATTGCTTATGTCGACTCTTTAGTTTCATCAACCCCTATTGTCCCCGATGATTTTCTTATTTATACCATTACTCAACATCATTCCCCACCTCCACCTCCTCTTCGTCCTCTTATTACTCAAGTTTACTCTCATCGGGATATTCAGCAACAACATGTGGCACTCGTATCAGCATCTGACTCATTGCCGTTATCGTTATCCTCGTTCCAGGATCCAAATCCTTCTGACTTTGATCTTCCCATTATTCTTCGTAAAGGTAAGCGTTCTTGTACTTATTATATTTCCTCTTTTGTTTCTTGTACCTCATTGTCTCCGTCCTCCAAATCTTTTGTTGCATCTTTAGATTCCATGTTTATTCCCAATTCTGTGTCTGAAGCGGTTACTTATGATGGGTGGTGAAGGGTTATGGAAGAAGAAATGTTGGCTCTTGAGCATAACAATACATGGGACCTAGTTAACTTACCAACTGAAAAAAAGGTCATTGGGTGTAACTGGGTGTTTGCAGTAAAGGTTAATCCGGATGGATTTGTGGCCTTGTTGAAAGCTCGGTTGATTGCTAAGGGTTACGCTCAAACATATGGTATTGATTACTAAGAGATATTTTCTCCGGTTGCTAAAATGACCTCTGTTCGGTTATTTATTTCTCTTGTAGCTTCCTATGGATGGCCTGTTCACCAACTTGATTTTAAAAATGCGTTTCTGCATGGTGATCTTCTTGAGGAGGTTTACATAGAGCAACCTCCAAGGTTTGTTGCTCAGGGGGAGTCCAAAAAGGTATGTAAATTGAGAAAATCTTTATATGGCTTGAAACAATCTCCATGTACCTGGTTTGGGAGGTTTAGTAGTGTAGTGTTTGAGTTTGGTTTACATAGAAGCACTTATGATCATTTTGTCTTTTATGAGCAATCTAGTTCTAGCATTCTCCTTCTCGTTGTTTATGTTGATGATTGTGATCACAAGTAGTGATAGTAGTGGCATTCATAATTTGAAAGACTTTCTAGCTTCTAAATTTAACACGAAAGATTTGAGCTCTATAAGATACTTTCTAGGAGTAGGAGAGGAATTGTTTTGTCTCAACGCATGATGTGTTAGATTTGTTGACTGAAACAGGCCTAATTGGAGCTAAACCTTGTGATACTCCCATGGTTCCTAATGTGAAATTGAATGTTGAGGATGGAGAGTTGTTTGATGATCCAGAGTGATATAAACGAATAGTTTAGAAATTGAATTATCTTATAGTAATCCGTCCAGATATTGCGTTCTCAGTAAGTGTAGTGTGTCAATTTATGTCATCTCCCCATGACATCTCATTGGGATGCGGTTCTTCATATCTTGAAATATCTCAAGAGAGCTCCTGGATGTGGGATTCTTCACAATAATCATGGTCACAGTAAATACAAGGATTTTTAGATTGCGGATTGGGTAAGATCATCTGTACACAGACGTTCTGCGACTGAAATTTGTGTCTTTGTTGGAAGAAACCTTGTTTCTTGGAAAAGTAAGAAATAACTTGTTGTAGCAAGATCATGTGTAGAATCTGAGTATCGAGCTATGACACAGGTGACGTGTGAGCTTATTTGGATAAGACATCTTGGAGAAATTAGAATTGGTGATCTAGGGACTATGTACTTGTAGTGTGACAACCAAGCAGCCATACATATAGCAAATGATCCAATTTTTCATGAGCAAACAAAGCATATAAAGGTGGATTGTCATTTTGTGCAAGAAAAACTTAAACGAAATTTGATTACTACTAATTATGTTAAAACGGGAACAACTAGCTAATATTTTTACTAAGTCTCTAGTTGGTAAACGGGTAATTTACATTTGTAACAAGTTGGGCATGATAGATATATATGCTCTAGCTTGAGGGGTAGTGATATAAATAATGTAGATAAATTGAGGGCATATATGTAATTGTGATAGAAGTAAATATATTAGGTTGTATATTACATTTTTTTATTATGAAATGAATAGTGTGAATATCAATTTTACGAACAACAACCTCTCTCTCTCTCTCTGGCTAATATTCATGTTTGAACATGAACATAGAAACACACCTCACGTATGCACAAATAAAATTTGTACTTACAACTTTTCTTGGATTTGCTATTTATCAAAGATTTGTCTTCATGTAAATCACCTATAAACTCACCATATGACAATTTTGTCCACTAATTTTTTTTTCCTTCTTTGGGAAAAAAATTCTTGTGGACTTATGTTGATGTTTCTTTTTTTCATATAGTATATCTTGAACATTGTTTCTTGATTGGTGTCTAGGTCATTTTCCCCTGCCTTGCTCACCTAGAGTCTGCCTTAGGTATGCATTTTTAATATATTTCTGATGTAGTTTGTGTAAATTGTCTAATTTCCATCTGAATTCAGAATTCTTCTTAAATTATTGTCCGTAGTTGTCTACTAAGTTTTTTTCACATTCAATTATATCCTAGTTTCCAGCATATATCACTATAAGGAATGATCACTTTTGCAAGCACTATTTTTGTACTGTCCAGCAACGAAGTAGTTGAGTCTTTCAGCTTAGTATTTTGCTTCTTTTCTGCGCTTCGGCAAAATCTACATTAGTTATTGCAAAAGAAGTTTTCCTTACTGTGTACTTTCTGCTTTTCAGGTTTCAAAGATGAGCTTGCCGGGGTTGCAAGTGGTGAATTTTCTCTAGAATTTGGGGTGGTGCAAGATGCTGACCGTCTTGATGCAATTGGTGCTATTGGTATTTTTTGGATTAAATAATTGTTTCAACTTGAAAACCACTGTTCTTGTTATGATTTGTCCCATAAAATTAATGGGGATGGCTGCTAGAAAAGATTAGTTTTTTTTTTTTTTTAATTTGTATATGTATATATATATATATATATGGAAATTATTTGATGCCATGGGCCATTGATAGATATATGGACTCAAACTTCTATCTGCTTCACAGTTTCTTGAAATTCTGATATAATGCTTTTAACAAATATGGCTCTTTGGCCTCCAGAGGCCCAGGAGATTATTTCAAGTCAGGGGATGATGATATATGATAAATTCAAACTTCTGTGGACTACTAAGTTTTATGTTGGCTGACTAACAGAAATAAATTTCTGACATTATAATGTTAATATCATATTGACTATTTTGTCTCCGTAGTTGCAGTTGCATTTTTTTTTTTTTTTTTTAAACTTTGCTTGGAACTTATCACTCTTATTAAACTTATTGTGATCGTAATAGTTTATATTTGATTTAGTAAAAATTTACTTCAAACTGGTGTAGTGACAGGAATTGACTGACATTCACATGCAGATAAACTCTTTGTTGGCCTTCAATTTCAGGGATTGCTCGATGCTTTACTTTCGGTGGAAGTAGAAATACACTGCTTCACGATCCTGCCGTTCAGCCACGTTCAGATTTCTCTAAAGACCAGTACATGAAGAAAGAGGAGCAGACAACAGTGAACCATTTTCATGAGAAACTTCTCAAGCTAAAGGATTTAATGAAAACAAAGGTAAAAGCACTTAGTTGAATGTGTAAAATTATATAAGCCTGCTGTGCCTTTTTGTTACTTGTTTGCGCTGGTGCTTCTATTCTCCTACATATTTTGAATATATGCATTTACATAAATGACATCTTATGAGTATGTAGAACTTTTATAAGAGTAATACTACTTTGATAAACCCTTTTCACTAATTTTCATTTATAAACACGACTTGACAGCTTGCAATGGTTCTTGTCCACCCAACAATAGGTCCTATTTGATTAATTGCGATCTGTCACATTTTGTTTGTATTATAGAGTTATTGATAATGGTTTGTCAATCAATCTTTTTTGCTTTTACAATAATATGTCTGAGTTTTGATTTCAATACTAGGCCGGTCAGAGGAGGGCTGAGAAAAGGCACAAATTTATGGAGGAGTTCTTGAAGGAATTCTATGAAGAATGGGATGGGAGAGCTTAAATGCTGTAAGCCTTTCCATTTTTCCCATTTTCAAGCATTTCATGATGTAGCTTATTCTTAACCTTAAGACTTTAGGTGGAAAAAATGCAGGAAACTTCCTTGCCATTGCAGTAAATTCCATAGAAAAATGTTTGTCTTATAAGAAAGGTGGGTAATGAGAGCTAATTGAGGAAGGGAAGAAACTTTTATTGGACACAGTTGCAATTAAAGAAATATGAAAAAAAATACATTTTTAATTTTTATGCTTTGTTGGACGTTGTTGAGTATATATCAAATATCATTGAAACTTGAGAATATTTGCATAAATTAATTAATTTATTAAATACATGTATGAATGGTAAGCACATTTTAATTTAAGTTAAGTCTTAAACCAAATAATAGCATTCTTTTAATAAACCGATAAACTTAAACATATAGTCAATGCATATTAATTAATAAGGACGTCCATAAAGAATTTGTATGGCAAATTATATGTATTTTGAACTCATATTTAAATATTAACTAATTTATACAAAAACTAATCTTAACAATATAACAATTAAATGTTCATATTTAATGAATATCAGATATATTAAAAATAAACTATAATTAATTATAGATATAAATATTAAATTTATTTCTTTCCAATTCTAATTCTGTTTTAATTAAATTTGAGTTTTTATTACATATTAATCATGTTAAATTTAGTACTTTAGTTCAATGTTGTCTAGTCACTCTAATCTTAGCTCCTCCTAATGCATATTGCATAATATGAGGAAAATAAATTGTTTGGATTGTGTATTTTTGTTATGCTAAAAAGTAAAAGCAACTTTATTATCACCATTCCATTTTCTATTTTCGAACTTGATATGCCGATGAGAAAATTGAGAGGACATGCTTTCAAATTTGCTTGATTGAACTATATTTAGTACATAGGGGCGTTTAGATTATATAATGTTTTATTATAGGGGTATATTATATTAACAAAAGAAAGATCACCTTGAAGATTACATGTTGTATTTGGTTGGTTTGAATAAATTGGTGAATAATATGTTTGGTTGGAATGATGAATTGGTGGGTATATTATATAGATTACTAAATTGTCCTCTTTTTTAAATATTAATATAATAGGATTTTTTTTTAATTATTTTTTGAATCATTTCTTTTAATCCCTTACATTTGAAATTTTGCTAAAATATTCCAACCATATAAAACTTTAATTTGTAGCAAAATCACCCCACCCACCTCAAGCCACTGCCAACCGCCAGCCACCGCTGAATGGCACACGACTGGTTGTATATGGTCGATCGTGTGCCAGCAAAGTCGGAAATGTGATCCATGGCAAAAAAAGGGCCAAATCTATGGCTATTTTATGGTCAAAGATGACGCCCACAGATCTAGCCGAGAAAAGGCCAGATATGTGGTCGTTTCATGGCCACATCTTTGGCCGTGAAACGACTATAGAAAAGTCAAATCTGGTAGTTTTTTGTCAGATCCATGGCATGAAAAGGCCTTACTAGCGCATGACTAGCTAGATCCTGACAGTCGTACACTATTATGGTGACTGACGCTGTCACGGCCGACAGTGGTCTTGGGTGGTTAAGGATATTTTGTTAACTTTTAAACTTTTTATGGCTGTGGTGTTTTAGCTAATTTCTCAAATGTAGGGGGGCTGGGAATTTCTCAAATGTAAGGGGGCTGAGCTAATTGTTATTCGATAAACATTTGAGGGCAATTGTGTCCGAAATGGTTATTAATTAAGGGCAAAATGGGTAGAATAATCAGATTATCCCGGTAATATTTTAATAACACCCTCTAATAAGGTAATAAGATTATCCCCCACATTACTAATAGTAAATATTATTTACAATAAAAGATTATCGTAATATTTTATTACTTGCAAACCAAACAGAGAAATCTTGCAAAATAAACGAAGATTACTCCCATTATCTTATATACCCTCGATCCAAACGATCCCATAATGTGATTGAGAGAGCGTGATCAAATTATACCTTTTAGGGCATGTTTGGTTAGGAGTTATCCCCCATTACTGAGGTAATATTATCTTATATTTCTTACATTACCTTGTTTGGTTGTCAAGTAATATAAGATTCTGATAATCTTCTAAACCAATAGTAATTACTGTTGGTTATATAGGTGGTAATCTAAATATCATCATTTTTTTAGGAATTTTAAGATTACTTGGTAATTTTAATTTTGTTGTAATTTTACCTCTAACTACTAAATTTTTTTGGATAATAATGCCCATATTTTGGAATCAATTTACAAAAATGTTCATGAACTATTTTATCCTTATACACAACGATTGAACTTAAAAATAATTACCCAAGACTAGTGGTCAGATTTGGCCACCACCGTTGGCTGCTAGAATGATGCACGATCAGTCAGATTTGGCTAGTCGTGCATTGATATGTCCGGAAATGGCTAGGTTCATAAATGTGGCTGGAAACGGCCAAATTCATGGTTGTTAATGGCCATAGACGTGACCATTAACAACCATAGATCTGGCCAAAAAGGGTCATAATAGATGTAGTCATTTTCGGCCAAAATAGATCTGGTTGTTTTCGGCTAGATCTACGGCCATGCCGAAAACAACTTAATTGACACACGGTTGGTCAGATCCAACCGATTGTGCACCGTTCCGGCCATGGCCATCAATGGCTGGCGATGGTGGCTAACGATCGACAATGACTTGGGTGGCTAGAGTTTTTTTGTTAATTTTTAAACTTTTATTATGAGTGTGTTTTAGCTAAATTCTCAAATGTAAGAAGTTAAAATAATAATATAAATTATAATAATAAAAATAATATTATATTAATATTAAAATAATAGGGTAATTTAGTAATCTATATAACATGCCCACCAATTTATTTTTTCCAACCAAACATATGAATATAATATATCCAATAATTTATTTCAACCTAACCAAACACATTTCTCTAAACATTTCTAATAATCTTCAAGATAATCTATATTTTTACTAATATAAGTTATATAACATTTCTAATAATACAACATTTTCCGCACCAAACGCACCATTATAACCACAACAAAATTACTCTTATTACATGTTAATGAGGATAATTTTATCTAATAACACTATCTATGAAGACTACTGGCCAATTTTTTAATTTTTCAATCTATTAAAAAATTTATATATAAAATGTAATCTTAACATATTCTTATGAAAACGCAACAAATTCATTAAGCCCCACATGTTTCAAGAATTGATGTGAGTTTCCTCCCCCCCTCACAATTTAGAAAATGCGATCTCTATCCCATTAATAATTTTATTAAAGTTAATGGACAGACAAGTAAAGTTGATGTTTTCAATTTTAAGGGTACAAGAAACTTCCTCCCTTCTAACCACCGGTAGACGCCTCAAGGGGGTGCCTAAGGTCATTTCGTGTCTCTAACTGCTATGCTAATTTTCTAATACCTATTTTAATCAACACCACAAGAAAATTAACATGGAATGCGAGCTTATATCACAGTTCCTATCGGATGCGATCTGTCGAGATCGTTGCTATGATTTGTTGATATCTGTAGATCGTAGACAATTGGTGGAGATTCTAACCAACCAAAGACTAAAAGAATTATGTATATTTTAACATTATTTAATTTTTTTTTTTTTTCTTTAATTTATAAAAAGAATCTAATTTAACTTAATGATTTACAAAATTAATGCTAATGCAACTATATATCCTAGACTCTCCCATAGTATTTTATATATTCGTCTGTTTTATTTTTTGAAATTAATCATCAAACATCATATTATTGGAAGAGAGAATTAAAAGTCTAATTATCCTCTCTAATCACAAAATTAGTGATCCCATACCTAAACAATTGTGATAACCAGAAGTGTTAAAGATCAAGTTGTTACGTAAATAGAAGAAAACTTAGTTAGAAATTAGTTATGCTGAGCTGTAAGTTTGTTAAGATAGTTGGAAGAAATTAGTTAAAAGGCTGTGTATTATTTCTTTGTATATAAGCAACATTGTAACAGACTTCTCATTAATGAATAAGAGAATTCTTTTTCACATTTCTTGCCCCCAAATTAACAAGAAGAGTAAACGACATGTTCTCACCCAAAGATTAGCAAAATTCCAAGTTCTCACCCCTGATTTCATTTATTCCAGATTTTCACCTTTAAATTAACAAAAAATTATTCACTCTAACATTTAAAGGGTAAAATGGTAATTTGAACTGCATTAAATCTTAAATAAAAATGAAAATTTTAACATAACCCTTTACATTTCAAATTTCTTTTACAAGCACCCCTCATCACTCCCCTCCCTCGCGACAGTCACAAAAAAATAGATCTAGTCGAATTCGGGTGTCGTTTGACATCATCGCCACCACCACCAGCTTCAACCACTCATCCCCAACAAAACCCATCCACCGCCAGCCTCGTTCGCCTCCATTTTGGCTGGATTTAAGCCTTTTAACCACGATTTTCCCGTCCTTCGAAACTGTTGAAAAATCCAGATCTAGCCAAATTCCGGCATCGTTTGACATCACCGCCACCACCACTAGCTTCCCCCACTCATCCCTGACAAAACTCATCCATTCCCCAGCCTTTTAACCGCGATTTTCCCCTCCTTCGCAGCTGCCAAAAACCCCAGATCTAGTTGGATTCCTGCACAGTTTGACATCCCACCACCACCACTAGCTTCCCTCACTCATCTTTGAAAAAACCTATCCATCTCCCAACCTCGTTCGCCTCCATTTTGGTCGGATCTGAGCCTTTTATCCGTGATTTTTTCCTCCCTCGCGGCTGCCGAAAAAATCCAGATCTAGCCAGATTCCGACGCCATTTGACATCACCGTCACCACCACTACTTCCGCCACTCATCCCTGACAAAACTCATCCATCTCCCAGCCTCGTCCGTCTCCATTTTGGTCGGATCTAATAAGCCTTTTCTCCCTATTTCCCTTCCCTTACGGCTGTCGGAAAATCCAAATCCATTTGGGGTTAAAAAGTAATTTACAAACTTATTTGTAAGGGTAGTTTGATAATAACACTCTCCATATTGTGTTAGAATCCAAAAATCATTCACAGTGTTAATTTAAGGGTGGAAATATGGGATAAATCAAACCATGGGTGGGAACTTGGATTTTTGCTAATCTTTAGGTGGGAACATGTCGTTTAAGCCCACGATAAGATCCACGTCACATGCCAGCACAATGTGCTAACCTAATCCCTCTCGAGTTAGACCATTCAAATTGGGCCTCATCGTTAGCCCACTTGGGCCTAGGCCTATATTATCTATTAAGGGT